GTAGAGGAACACATTACTGAACACGGTTTTAAATGAACTCTACAGTGATTAATAACTGAAATCTTACGAAACGTTCGAGATTTTGTTAGATTGTTGGCAGAATTTGCAAACACAGACCCCAAAGCCATTGTTCTCGAACTAGCCAATGTATTGATTAACCTAGTAAAGTGAATACCATACAAGATTAGGGTCTTCGTACAAAATGGAAGCAGTGTTTGCTTGTTATGTTATTTAAACCTCTCTTAGAAATCTTTCAAACAAGAAGATAACTTCTCCAGTAATCTAAACGTTACAAGCAGAACTGGAATTAAACGAGAAACTCCACAACAAAGTAAAGGAAACACAACTAAGGCTTTTACAAATGCCGCAGAAGTTGTTAATCTCGTCTTGTTGGAAAACCCACAAAGCTTAGCATTAACAACATGCTCAAAGTACGTCAACAAACTGCAAATAAGATAATCAGAGAATACCTCTAAAAACTCACAAGGGGCAGATTCCTAAGCTTCCTCTAAGACCACACATAAGCACAGAGCACAGAGGATTAACCCTCGAATGTATTGTGAGAGGTGTCTAGCAGAAAATAATATATGTTTCTTGTAAGTTTTGATGACATAGATTAGGGTAATACAAACATCTTCTCTGTTCCATGATGTTTTCCACTAAACTTGGTAGAAAAACATAACAGTATGAGTTGTTATAAACGTGTGTAGAGCAAGATCAATTAATCTTGCAGGTTAACAGACATTTATTGAAACAATACTAATATTAATAAAATAATTAAAGTACGTTTTGTTAAAGACTTCGTCGAAATTGTTATTCACTTATTCATTTCCATTCATCACCAATAAATGTGTATTTTAAAATCTGAACGACTTTCCAAATGTGTGATTGAAAACATTCTAAACTTTAATTTGTCATTTTGTACTCTTGAATCTTTTATCCAATATCATTGCTTTTACACATTCACTTGCACAATAACTTTATAGTGAAAAAGGGACGGGACACTTATCAACCTTAAATGGAGGTCTCTATTTCAGGGTACCGATAACCAGAAATAGTTCTGTTGTTTCTCCCCACTGGCATCTTCTCCTTTGTGGTGGAAGTCCAACTCAGGCAAATACAGCCAGCTTCTGTTTCTTATAGTGCCATAGGTATGTGTTTTCTGTTACGGGCAAAAAAATAATACCCTAAAGCACTCAAGGTCCTCTGACTATGGAGCACGGAAGTTCTACTGGAGATATTCTACTGGAGATATTCTACTGGAGATATTCCACTGAAGATATTCTACTGGAGATATTCTACTGGGGATATTCCACTGGAGATATTCCACTGGAGATATTCTACTGGAAATATATTATACTGGAGATATTCTACTGGAGATATTCCACTGCAGATATCATACTGGGGATATTCTACTGGAGATATTCTACTGGAGATATTCCACTGAAGATATTCTACTGGAGATATTCCACTGGAGATATTCTACTGGAGATATTCCGAGTTTATAAAAAAAAATCATTTAGACACAATGGCTAATTGTTCCAAAGTGTCACCTCGAGATCTTAAGATTTATTTGAACATAAATAACTAATTATTAAAGTAGAATAAACTGAACTGAAGCCGAGAAGCAGTCACATATTCACAATAAATAATTTTTCTATTATTAAAACAAATGAACAACTCACACATAGTACAACTAAGCAATGATAAAGACAACTGAACACTGATTCAAGTGAAGAAAGCATTGGTTACGAACACATGACTCTGTTTATTTATCTCTGCTGCTATCTGACAACATACTTAAAGATCGATAGACCAGTTTGTAGAATATCTCCAGTGGAATATCTCCAGTAGAATATCTCCAGTGGAATATTTCCAGTAGAATATCTCCAGTTGAATATCTCCAGTGGAATATCTCCAGTGGAATATCTCCAGTAGAATATCTCCAGTGGAATATTTCCAGTAGAATATCTCCAGTTGAATATCTCCAGTGGAATATCTCCAGTGGAATATTTCCAGTAGAATATCTCCAGTAGAATATATCCAGTGGAATATCTCCATTAGGATATCTCCAGTAAAATATCCCCAGTGGAATATCGCCAATAGAATATATCCAGTGGAATATCTCCAGTAGGATATCTCCAGTAAAATATCGCCAATAGAATATCTCCAGTGGAATATCTCCAGTGGAATATTTTCAGTAGAATATCTCCAGTAGAAAATCTCCAGTAAAATATCTCCAGTGGAATATCTCCAGTAGAATATCTCCAGTGGAATATCTCCAGTAGAATATCTCCAGTGGAATATTTCCAGTAGAATATCTCCAGTAGAATATATCCAGTGGAATATCTCCAGTGGAATATCTCCATTAGGATATCTCCAGTAGAATATCTCCAGTGGAATATTTCCATTAGGATATCTCCAGTAGAATATCTCCAGTGGAATATCTCCATTAGGATATCTCCAGTAAAATATCTCCAGTGGAATATTTCCAGTAGAATATCTCCAGTAGAATATATCCAGTGGAATATCTCCAGTGGAATATCTCCATTAGGATATCTCCAGTAAAATATCTCCAGTGGAATATTGCCAATAGAATATCTCCAGTGGAATATTTCCAGTAGAATATTTCCAGTAGAATATCTCCAGTAGAATATATCCAGTGGAATATCTCCAGTAGGATATCTCCAGTAAAATATCGCCAATAGAATATCTCCAGTGGAATATTTTCAGTAGAATATCTCCAGTAGAAAATCTCCAGTAGAATATCTCCAGTGGAATATCTCCAGTGGAATATCTCCAGTGGAATATCTCCAGTAGAATATCTCCAGTGGAATATATCCACTGGAATATCTCCAGTGGAATATCTCCAGTAGGATATCTCCAGTAAAATATCTCCAGTGGAATATCGCCAATAGAATATCTCCAGTAGAATATATCCAGTGGAATATCTCCAGTGGAATATTTCCAGTAAAATATCTCCAGTAGAATATATCCACTGGAATATCTCCAGTGGAATATCACCAATGGAATATTTCCAGTAGAACATCTCCAGTAGAATAGCTCCAGTAGAATATCTCCAGTGGAATATCTCCAGTAGAACATCTCCAGTGGAATATCTCCAGTAGAACATCTCCAGTATAATATCTCCAGTGGAATATCTCCAGTAGAATATCTCCAGTGGAATATCTCCAGTGGTAGTGTTTTAATTAAGGAAACAAATCCTTGTCAAGGTTGTCGATATGACTGGATAATGTTTCAGGAGAATGAGGATTTCCATGGAAAATACGAAACAAATTCGGAAGTTTCCCTGTAAACAACAACGCGATCTATTATTCAAATTTCAGTTGCATCTCTACCTCAGCCCGTTCTTTTCGTTGATTCACTATACACTAATACCTTGAAAATTTTAGGCAATTAAATGTCCACATTACAATGACAGACGATTGGGTAGAAAGACAAATACACGATTCAATTTCAACACGTCTTAACTGAAGTGACAGCTTGAATACTATATTTTCTCCGTTGAACTAGGACTTTAGTGTACTCTGTTATGACTGGAACAAGTCTCTAGTCTTCAGGAAGAAAGCTAGGTGAAAACAGTGACAAAATATTATGTATGATAGATAGGTAACGACAAACAATGAATGTACCGTAGTTTCAACCAATCACATGAACACTTGCAAAATGCCCAATCCATATTTGTGTAGAAAAGACGAGGTAGCCACCTAGAACAGTCTGTTTCCTAGAAGGTGTAGCAAAGTAGTTAATACCGTAGAGAAAGGCCACATTCTCAAAATATTGGTTTCAAACTGTCAAGATCGAAAATACATCTAACGTCTGAAATGTGTACACGAATTTAGAATATATTCAAAATAAAGGTACGTCAGGGAAGGTTTGATATTTGAGAAATTCATAAAACTTGTCCTGGTGACCAAATACTCGTAACCAGTAAGCTCATGGCTCGGTAAAGGAGTAATTATTAGAAACATTAACCAGTAAAAGTTATAAATCTCTATACTTATTCTCAAGTATATATCAGAATCAGTTTATCAGTTGTTAATATGACTCATTCTTGCACAAAGTTTCATAGTTGTGTAGCATTATTTCATAACTTATGTGTATTAAAACTCTGTGTTAATTTTAAACAAAATGTAAACAGTACTTAAAATCTTTTAGTAAAGAAACCCATTCATTTTTTCAGATATTTTTATTAATTGTTAAAAGTTGTGTAAAATAGTAACTTTATAGTAAATACTAATGTTGAATTATTTAATACCACAACCAATACTACGTTTCAAAAAAAAATATTAATAAGAGCATTTTCTGATTACCTATATACAAAAATATATATTATAGATTTTTTTAAAACATTACCTTATATAACTGATTCAATTCCAGTTTTTCTTTCATTGCCATAGTATACATTCATAGAAGTTTTACGCTATCTGTAAGTTCTGAACAGATAACTATCACTTTAAAGTATATAAAGTAACTTATAATAAGATGTAAAGTAAATTGGTAATGGATGAGAATGATAATAAGTGGTATTTCGAGTCTCTGAGATTTTACTGCTACCATGATTGTATACAAAAGATTTGAGATGATGAAGAAGAGAAAATTACTCATTACTTACACACATTGTTGTGTTGTGAGCATCTTATATATATATACCAGACTAACATATATCTAGTAAATGCTAGGGCATTCACGAAGGTACAGGATAGTTCTAGAAACAAACGCTATAACGAACTTCAACAATACTCTCTGACTGCAGATCAATTACTCACTACCTACACACATTGTTGTGTTGTGAGCGTCTTATATATATATACCAGACTAACATATATCTAGTAAATGCTAGGGCATTCACGAAGGTACAGGATAGTTCTAGAAACGTGGCGTGACACTAGTCACGTGACCTCGCTGACGCAACAATATATATATTTAAGTGAATTGATATTACATCTTAATTATAAGTGCACATGTTTAATACTTAGAATCCTGGAAGACTTTCTTACCACACACCCACAAATGGATTAAATCTCCATTCATCTCCTTCTTTGCCAAATATTTCTCTTGGTCGTCCTCCAGCATATTATCCTAATGTGAGTACTAATGTGTCATTTTGATTTTTTTATATATTTTTTTTAGAAAAATTCAATATATTAAATTAATCATATTTTTATAATGAATGCTAGTACATAGAACATTTTTGAATCAGATGTTGATATTAATTTTTCAAGAAGTATCTCAATTATGTTAATGCAATATATTGATAGCTTTGTTAGATTTAACTGTACTGTGTGAAGTAATTAACTGGAACAGAATTTATAACAAGCATTTCTCCAACTTTAGTAACCCAAGGACCCCTTTTAATTTAAAATTATTTGTGCCCCCACCTTCAAACCTACCAGTGTTTTTTGTTTTTAAAAAAATATCCTATGCACATGAAAACTGTATTCCTAAATTAAATGTTTTAATTCATATAAGTTTAATTTTATGAAAAATATTTTGTATTCAACAAATCATATTTTTAAAATATTTGTATGAAATTTTGTACATGATTTGCAGACCCCAGTTAGATCAAAAGTTTCATGTTAGTAAATGTGTTCTTTGAAGGTTTAATTATTACTGAATTGAGGAAAAAAACAAAGACAGTTGTACATTTTCACAAGTACTTCATTTATTAATGACCATGGTTTCATCAGTAATGGTTTGTAAAATCAAGAATGTGGATAGTATATTTAATATGAGTAAGATGCTTTATAGTGCTCTTATGGCAAGACAATACTAAATATCATTAATTTATTAAAACATTTTACTAAACACTTGAAAATACATCAGATACCTTTCAGAATTTCTGTTGGATCAACAGTTCTGTTGTTCATTAAATTTTTTCATTGATGAGCTTATTAGTATAGCAATCTCATGGAAGAGAATTATATATTTTTATGTTTGATTCTATATGAATGTAATAGTTTTTATATTCAAATCCCTAATAATTTTGTATATTAAAACCAAGTAACCTATAGTTCTTCTATGGTCTAAAGAAAACAAGTTCAAAATTATATAACTTCTTCTCACAGTTTCATAAGCACACTAAATACCATTCTACTTTCTTTTATCTGCACTTTCCAGTGTGTTGATATCCTTCATGCAGTATGGAGACCCAATATTTATAGAGTATTACTCTTAAGTGACACCTCAGTAGAGACTTATTCAGTTTGTAATCTGCTCAGCATTCTTCTAGTGGAGATAACAACTAAAGATATAACATATAAGAACTTCATTTGGCAAAAAGAATAATCAGACTTACATACAGTTCCTTGCAATCTGCTCAACATCTCTCGGTGAGGCATACCAACTAAGGATGGATGTATAAGAACTGCAACTTGCTCAGAGTATTTTACAAGATTTCACACTAAAATTCAAAATCTTGTTTGTTCTCTTCAGAACAACTGAACACTTAGTTGAAAACTTTGAAGTACCTAAATCTTGTTCTCTTTCACCTTTCTACAACATCAAAACTCTTCTCACTATTCCTTTACAAATTATCATGTATTCAATTTTAATACTGTAACTCATTTGCTTTATTCTGGGTTTGTCATTAAATTTGTCAAAGTTTTTGAGTGAAAGAAACAATTCAAGAATATTCTCTTCCCAATACTGTAACAATTTCAGTAAATTTTTATATGTAACTGCACTAGAACAGTGTTTCCCAATCTGTGTGCTGTCTTGCTGCAGCACAGTGGTGTGCTGTGAGACACAAACAGGTGTGTCATGAAATTTTGGAAAAGCCAGACATGCAAAAAATATAAATGAATAAGTGAAGTGTATCGTTTATATAAATTAGTTTTGTGAACAGAACCAAATTGTATCCTGTCTTGTTCCTCCTTTAGTGTACAGGCGTGAGACATTACATCATGCTACACTGTAATGACTTTTTACTTCACGTGGTAATAAGAGTAGTGTGTTGTGCAAGTTTTCGTAAATTGCTGGGAAAGGTTGGTGTGCCGCAAAACATTTTTATTAAAGTCATTGTGCCTTTGTCAAGAAAAGGTTGAGGAATACTTCACTAGAATCTATACAACTAATTCACTCAAGAAAATTAATTACTACAATGGTTAAATAAATCATTTATTTCAAACATGATTAAATAATAGCTTTAGGAAGTTATATTTATGATAACATGTTTGCAAGGACACGAAAGATATTACTTAACTAAGTTTTGCTTAACTGAAAGTTTTTTTGTTAACAATTGACAATCATTTAGCTAGTTAATTTTATCACAAAATCATTCTATATGGCCCATTTTATAAAATTGCTCTTAGCCATGGTTTAATGATGTGAGTTTGCTCATATATATATAGATTTTTTTTTTTTCAAATACAATGTGGAAACCTATCAAATTAACATTAAGGTCTATTTAAGCAGAACCACCCAGTGCATCTTAAATCTGAAGTAAGTTTTCTAGTAGGATCCAAATGGAAAGCTTCTTCTAAATATTGATCAGTTAAAGCCTAAGAGGAAAATAATATTTAACTGATAGGGTACACATTAGCAGCTAGTTGTAACATCTTAGCAATATCTTGAACAATTAACCATGTTGGTAATCAGATTTCTTTGTGAGCTGTCGTATTTAGGGAGTTTTCATTTGATAACTATCACTTAAAGCTTTTAAATATATATATATATATATGTTGGTGAAATATTTAATGAAATTTTTTTTTAATCCATACTTGTCTGAAAGTCAACAAGTGACATTTTAGAAAGACCCACCTGGAATCATTTTTTACTCTCCATACAAATTCTATTTCGATAGAAAAGTAACTCAAAATTAATGACAGACACTTTAGAAGGAATATTTAAATTTAAATATACATTACAAATTCAATTTTTTTCTTTTTTTTATTTGTTAGGAATCAAAGAGTGCCATATCTGAAACTCAGGCTAAAGCATCTGTCACAGCACAACTGGGGCTACCATTGACACATCAGAGTCTTCATTCTACTCTTCCGTTCTACCCACCTTTACCAGGTATTAATTCTACTTTAAACAAAGTTAAAATCTAAAAATTGTTTTTCACAGTCATATCTTCATGTATAAATTGAATTCAGTAATTCTCATGATTGATGATTCCTTGGCAGATAGTAAAAATCACACACAAATTTTTTCAGTAAGGCACAAAGAAATCATTGGTGACATAGTTGATCTGAGATCCTGCAGTTACTACAGTACTGATTACTTTCATCTGTCTGTACAATCTATGGTCTAAATGTCTGATAATTATTGCTCTAGTTTATTTGTTATGTTGTTTCGTCATGACAGGAGCTCCAATAGTGGTCAACTCGCTACTAACACTTTTATCAAAGTAAAATGTTTGTTTCTCTAGTCTTTGTTGCGGTTGTTTATTTACTTGATTGTTTTGTCTATAAAGTTTCAAAATCGCTGAAGTCGTTGGCAGTATAGTTTACAACTTCTCTCTGATAAACATTTGCGTTGGAGAAACATCTATATCTAGTGGAGAAGTCCTTTTTATGGATCTTTTGCTTTGTAAATAAGATTTTTAACAATTCCAACAGTTTTAGTCATTGACCTGTGGATGGTAAGGACTTGATGTCATTCTGAATTCTCATGGTTCAGCACAAAAAATCATGAGTCACTGTCAATAAAGATCTCATCAGGAATCCCATAATGTGATATCTGACTTTTCAGGTAACTAGTCACATTTCTAGACAACAGATTATCCAGTTCTGTAGATTCTGGCCATTCGGAATAATAATAATAGTTGAACTCAAAGATATCCTCTGCAGTTTTAGGAGATTGTATGTCAGGAATGTCTACTAGAATCATCAGGCTAGACACAAGCCTTCTCTCCTATCTGTGCTGATATACCAGTGCAATACAAGGCTTTTCATGCCTGGTTTTTACATTTTACTTCACCTAAATGTGACTCATGGATTTTGTCCAACATTTTGGGATGCAGTGTTTTTGGCACTTTGATGAAATTATGAGCTTTGAATAAGGGTCAATCTACACAAACTGTTTCATCAAAGAATGAGCAATAAATTCTATAGTGGCACATATAACTCATGTTTGTTATTGATCTATCCATTCAGGACTGTATTTCTTAATTCCTTCAATACACTGTCAACCACAGTCTCACACTGGAACTCTGTATGTTTCTCAGGAGATATCAGTAAGTATGTTTTAGAGTTTATTGCATTGATTATTACTTTTGGAAGAGATTCCTGTTTTGTTTCTTGTAGGTATAATCAATTGAGAGTGTCTGTTAACCATATATATTTGTCTGGCTTTTATACTAATTGTAAATCATACTTTTGAAAAGATTGAAGAAAGTACCGGAAGCATGCAAGACATTGATAAAGCAGATATAAACTGCAAAAGTTTATAGTCAGTCTCAACACCTACTTTCCTACTATTTATGGACTAATGGAACTTCTCACATCCATAAATCACAGTGAATTTTGTTCTCAATTTGGGTTTAATTCTGTTGAACTGAAGTGAGGCATAGGTGATGGACTTAAAGATCTTTTAAGAGGACAGCTTTGAGTCCCTTAGGGCTGATATCAACAGAAAATGTTAGTGGAAATGCAAGGTTGTATCATTTGAAAACTGGTTCCTCAGATGCCATACATTTTAGAGTTTTAAAACTAATTTCATATTCCTCTGTCTAGTCCTTACTGAAATCACATTTTCTATGCTTAAAATTGAGGTTTTATAACTTTGCTTTCTTTAGCACTTGTTTCTTTGGCATAATTCTGAGCAACATCTTTGCTTTGCAATGAAATATCTTCCATTATTCCTTCAGCACCCTCAATATCCATGATCACCTGAGATATTTTCTGAAAAACTTCTGGGACTGACTTTATCCCTGTGGCATGTATGGAATTTGTACCTGCCAAAAGTCATATGTGACATCTACTTTGCAGAACATTTTTGTTTCAAGCTCTGTTTAAATCTCTTGGGTTAGTTCAAATTTTAATTTTGTATGGTTTCATCACAGTCACCATGTTACTTACCCATTCGTCCCTCGTGAAATAGCGGTAAGTTTTTGGATTTACAACGCTAGAATCAGGGGTTCGATTCTGTTCGATAGACACAGCAGATAGCCCAATGTGGCTTTGCTATAAGAAAACACATATTTATCCAATCATTGGGTTCCATTTTGTTTAACAATTATGTTAGTTTTTTCCATTTGATAAAGCTGTTCTCTCACTCTTTCTTTTAAAGAAATTAATAATTCCAATATGATACCTTGCCTCTTCTCACATATTAGTTTTTCCTCGATTTTGTGCTGCTCAGTATATTTGCAATTTTTCTTTCACCACTGGTCTTGAGGCTTCCACATAAACTCCCATATTTCCACATGGTTTTGCTGTGATGTACCATGCAAATAAGCAGGCAACAATCCTCCATCAATAGGAATGTGACACCCTCCCAGCACAGCTGACTCCCTCTATGATGATTATTCAATCATCTCTTCTTGATTTGGCACTGGTGTGTAATTATGTGTCTTTCTCTTGTTTGTGAACTTTTCAGATATAGGTGTTTTTTTTTAGTGTATGTATCTACAGATATTACCTGTTGTGGAAGTATTTATTGTTGGATTTTCGTTTTCCAATAGTTTCTGTTCCTACAGATTTTGAGGTCTTTTATTTCCACATTATTATTTCATACCTATGTTTCTCATTCATGATGGAAGGGATTTTGCCAGTTTTTTCTCACCACCTACCTTTGCCTCACCTTATACACATGTTGTCTTGAATCTAAGAGATCCATGCTACTTACCAGTTCCTAGTTGCTAGGGTGGTGGGCCTTCAAGAATTTGTCACTGGCTGGGCTTAGCACAATACAGTGAAATGTAGGATGGTAGTGACACTGTCTGTGTAGTATGGGTCACCCCTCAAGTAGCTCATATGTCCTCCTTCTGCAGCCAGAGTCTGTCCAGTAGAGTCAAGGTGAGCACACACTGTACAGTCTGAATGCACCCTAACCACACCACACATATTGGCTCACTGACCACTTGTGTGCAGGAGCTCAGTTGGCCATGTTTGAATTCCACCCATCCCTGCAACACTTGGGGCTCATTTTCTTCTACCCCCTTTACATTCTGGGTGAGGAGTATACCCTTGTTGAGATGAGATATGGTCTTCCACAGGTGTTCTCCTATGGATTCCCTTCCAGAAATATGCATTTTCTTGTGCAATTTGCCTAAATTCCCAAATTTTAAGAAACTGAATAATACATGTATATTTCCAATTCCTTTAGATTCTAAAAGGAATACATCATTGTTGTTTAATTTGCTTTTCATAAAATATTTCTAATTTTATTTCAGTCTCTCTAGGATAGAATATCTAGTTGGCTTATATAGTGACTTCTTCTCTGAAACACTGTTACATAAATATCAGTTTTTCTCATTATGTAATGTTACCAGAAATGAAATATGATCACTTTTTCTCTTATTATAATTTTTAGTTTAATATTTGTATTTATGCCTCATTAAGTTTAAGTTTTAATTAATAATAATGGAGATGATCTTTGATCATTTGGCTCCTCAAACATTTGAGATTTTTTTTACTGTCTAGATTTCTGTAATAAAAACTCATGTGCTGTTATTATAATATGCTAAGTAATGGAATATTAAAAAAAATACTGTTACTGAGTTAGTATGTTTTGCTATTTAACAACATAAAAACTTCAACCAGCTATTTATACAGAAACATGTGTATAATTGATGATGCATAACCACAACAATTTCAGTTTCTAAAGGGGGGGGGACTTATTTTTTAAGCTTTCTAATAATGTTTACATAAGGACAAGTAAATATATGACTAAAAATTTTGCTTGTTACAAAGTTTTTTTTTTTTCAGTCATAGATGGAGAATTTGCATCACCCACCAACCCAGCCTATATACAGCATCAGATGAAAGCTTTAGAACAAGCTTCATCATCCAGACCAGATCTTTCAGTCAGTGATGTGATGTCTGTTGTTTCTAGAGTTTGTTATTCTGCAAGTGGAATTACAAAAGCTCAGGAAGCTCAAGCTCGACTATATCGGTAGATAGTTAATTTTACTCCATCACTCGTTTAGTACATCTTTAATGTTTTAAAATTTAAGCTTGCCTTAGTAAAACCTTATAATGAAAGGTAGTGATAATGATGGTGTTTATTTGTTTTGAGCTCAAGCGGGCTACAATTATAGTTTTATTTCAAGAAAGCTCATAATTATTAACATTGTAAGGAATATCTCTTGCTTTGGATTATTCTTTTATTATTCTTGCAAAATATTTGGTATATTAAAGGTTTAACATTGAACATTTCACATAAAGATTGTTTGTTTAATATCAGATAACTACTTTTGTTCATATTTCCTTAATTTATTGAGAAATATCTGTAGTATTCATTTTGTCTGTTGCAAGAAATATCTTTATATATCACCTATTACACTTGTGAATCTTAGAAATATTTACCATTTAGCAATGAACCTTTATATACCATATGACAGTAAATCATATTAACAGTTTTTTCTAACCTAGAAACTGTGTCACGAGTTGTGATTTCTTGATTCCCCCCCAGGAACAGCAGTCGTCCTTTAGGCAGGACACAATCAGCCCCATTACCACTTGGTCACCCACTGTTACAGCCACAGGGAATAGTCTTGTCTTCCTCTCAAGGTGAATCTTTCTTAAGAGACCAACAGCACAATCTCTTAAGACAGGTAAGAGAGAAATATTAGAATGTTATTTACTGTAATACAAGAGGAATATCATTCCAATTACAATAAGATTTCTTTGGAGATGTTGTAAAAAATAAGTAATTTACATAGCTGTTTAGGTATTTCAGAACCTAATTTAACTGATATTTACACAGCTGGTTAGGTACTTCAGAACCTAATTTAACTGACATTTACACAGCTGGTTAGGTACTTCAGAACCTAACTTAACTGACATTTACACAGCTGGTTAGGTACTTCAGAACCTAATTTAGCTGATGTGTCATACTTCATACATTAATCAGTGTGTGTGTCTTAATAGAGTCTGAGGAAACTTGCATATTTGATGCAGAATGTTTTACCATTTTACCTACTTTTGTGATTTTATTTAATTCATATGCTTAGATATTATCTGAAATGAACTTTGAGCTCATCATGAACTCAGTACTTTTTTCTCAGCATAATATAACAGTGACATGATTTTGCAAAGTTTTTGAAGAAAGAGCGAGGATATATAGCTGTATACTTCCATTGCAGTTTACTGAAAGCTAGGGCATATTTATGGCATTAAACTACTGTATACTCATTCAAAATTTTGTCAGTTAAATTTTATATTCTCAATGCAGCTAGGTTTTAAAAAAAATAATAAATTGATGTCAAAGTTTGTAAATTAAGGTTCAGTGGATAAATCACTCACACAAAGAGACAGAGAGCTTATGAGTCCATTAAAGAAATGTTTGAAATAGATAAAATTTCATTTAAAAACATTTTATGTTTTGATAGTTTGTATCTGTTTTTAAGGCATTGGGGATCTTTTATTTTATTTTATATTCAAGAGATTCAAGTTTACAAATATGTACCTTGATTTTTGTACCTAAAGTAAAACATCTGTAATAAAGGAGTTTATGGCTGTAACCATTTTATAGAAAATGAACACATCACCATTTATACATATTTATAGTAAATTGTTAATAATTTTACTTCTGTTGTTTCACGAAGATAGATGCTATATGTGAATAATGGTAATCCTCCTTTTAAACTGTCACTTCTGGTCAGAGCTAGCATATATGTACCTACTTTTGTATGTGGATAATATATTAGATGTGTTTTTAATTAACTTTTTTTCACTATAATGAATGTACTTTCTACAATAATGGGGACTAGTCACCCGATATGGTTGACATAACATTCTGAAAGGCCGTGGCAGAGTTTAAACTTGAATATAGTTCCAAGAAAAGTAAATTTTTTACTTAGATTTCTCCTTGTGTTAGTCCTGTGCAGTTATGTTTTGGAAGTTTCTGTTGAAAATCAGTAAAGCTAGTCACAGTCAAGAAAGTTGTAGTGTATTCTTTATTTCAAAGTGAGACAACTTTGTTCCCTCTCCTTTTCTTTCTGATCAGGTTTGACATCTTTAACTATGCATACAATTCATAAGAACCACCTGTGTTATGGATTATTCACAAATTATATCAGTAGAAAGCTAATGTAATTTAATTACTCCTTAGTACATCATGAATGTTTTGATATTTAAACTTAGCTTAGTAAAGTCTTACGGCAGAAAGTAGTGATAATAATGATGTTTATTTGCTTTGAGCTTAAGCTGGTAAGTAAGCTACAGTTATAATTTTATTTTAAGGAAGCTTATAATTTTTAACATTGTGAGGAATGTCTCTTTTTCTTTCTTTTTATTCTTTTATTGTTTTCACGAAATATAATGACCTTTTTTCACTATGTTTGTTGAGATTTCCTTGATTTATTGAGAAATATCTGTCACCTACATCAGTTATTCTAACCATCTTTTGTAAGAATTGTGTATATAATTTTTTGCATCATTTGTCAAGTTAAGGTTATATACACTTGTGAGATCAATTTGAGACTAATATTATAACAGTGAGAGCATTATTGACATTAATATTTAATACACAGTCACAAACAGTAAATAAATTGGTATTATAGAATAAATACCTTTTAAAACTAAGGAAAAGAAACCATTTACGAAATAAAAATATTGCTACTACATAACAATACTTTTGTACAGCTGGCTGACATAATTACAAATTATCATAGAATGACTTATCCCCTCATCTGCACACTGATTTAAACTTATTAAACCACTGCCTTGAAAGGATTTACAAAAAATAATAATAATTTTGTGAGCACATACACATAATTTTTCTTACTGATTGCTGATTATAGATTCTGAAGAATTGATGTTAGAGTTAATATATTTTTAGATAAATATTGAGCACAATACATTTGTTTTCTCTTGTATTTTTTTTTACTTAAGATTCTCATGTATCTTCTGTAGCACATTCGGCAAACAGTGTTAACTCGGGCAAGCAGCAAAAACCAGGTGGAAAATGTTGAAGAGGAAACAGAAGCTGCCATAGCCCAAGAAATGAAAGATTCATCTTGCGATAAAAAAAGCTTTATTTCCATAGAAGCAATTGATTTGACTGAGCCCAAATCTAGGGTTGACAGAGATGAACCTGATATAGGGCACACCACTGTTACTCAGAAAAATTATCTTGAAGTGCTTGATGGTATGTTGGATTTTTTTCTTTATAGGTAGATGATTGAATGGAGAGATAAGTAGCCAATAGATAGGTTAACATATGTGCAGTATTAAAAAATAAATAATAAAAAACTATAAATAAAATGGGTATCAAATGCTAATATTATAGTATTGCTCTCTCTTTAATGTAGGAAAATGATATATAAAATAGTAGTGCATTATACAACTCACTTGCTCTGTGATAAAGTATTTTGTTAGTGATAAAATGACCATTTATTTGCTCCCTTTTGTGTTTCCATAATTATTTCCAATGCTTTATACGTAAAAGAAACCACACTTTTACACTCAAATATTATAAAGATACATATTTTTTTTTAATATGAAAGTACCTACACAATGTATTAGAAATGCAAATGTTTTCTGTTTATGGTGTAAGGTGCATTAGAGATGTATTGCTGTTTTTCTACTTTAAGCATGCAATGAAATATATTTATGAATTTGTTGATTTGACTTGATTATGTTTTACAAGTTCATAAAACTCATGCAAAGCAGTATAGTAGTGGGATACATATAATAAATTTATAATTGAGGAGGATTAAACATTAATTTTGTACACCACCTTGTGACATTTTGGATGAGTATTGCATAAAGCAGCTTATATATATATATGTACACTAGATGGAGTACCCTTCCATTGGAAAGGTGAAATAAAAACTCATTTGTAAAAAGGATAGGAAATTGTGCTTAAAATTTTTTTCTTAACATTAAAAGTGCAATAAAAATACATAAACATACCAATATTGAAAAGAAAGACATACTGTTTTCAAGAATTATATCAATATGAAATTAGATGGGGATCCAACCCCTCCTTCTTCATAACCTTCTTCGTGTCATCCTATCAAGTTGTGCTGAATTGGTAGTTTTCCAAAATTTGATATGAAATTAGATGGGGAAATCCACTCCCCTCATGACCTTCCTTGTATCATCCTCTGTCATTATGTCAAGTTTGGTGCTGATTGATCAAGAAATGTGGAAACATATAAGGAACAGACACACACACACACACATACTTATTAACGTTTATTTATATAGATTTAAAACAGAAATATGGAATATATATTTATGTTATTAATTATTATCATTTTTAAATTTAGTTTTGTGTCAGTTTTTTTCTTGAATTCATTACTTACAGCTTTTTCTAAAGCTGCTCCTTCTCATTATTTAAAGGACCAGCATTTACTTCTCATAGCCATCATGTAACTCGTCCACTGTCTCGTGCCCTGTCCAGTCCTTTAGTCAACCTTAGTCCCACAGGAAACTTTCAGGAGAAGTTTGTGTACACTCACCATGCTTTTACTACTGGTAGGGCTAAATTTCAAGGAATGTAGACAGTTAATGACTGAATAATTATGAAGTTAGCTATTAGGATGGTTTTTTAATTGGGTGGTTATGATTTCTTGTCATACTTTTGTATGTCTAATGTAGTAATCCACAACAGAAACAACCTAATAGTTGTATGTATACTTGAATTTCTAGATTCACTTCTATCTGTAATATTGTTACTTTATTCTGATAACCCATGGAGAAAACCTATCACTTACAAACAGAGAAATAAGCCTATGAAAATGGCTAAATGAACAATCTAAGAACTTCTTCAGTACTCCTGTTCTCCAGCTATTGTTAGTATGCACAAAATATTACATAAAACAGCAAGAACATATTTAGACATTTTCCATAATATGACAAGTAAACAATAATTCCTCAGATTTGCTCTGGGTAATCTTTTTAAGCAAGTTTTTATTTCTGCTATTTTTTTCTTTTGTCACATTCCATGTATCATTTAAAGCTAGGTATTCAAGTTCTGATATTTTTTCTCTTTCTTTACCTAAGTTTAGTGTGAAATGATCTCGTAGTTAATTAAGAGTGTATCTTTTCCTTCTGTTTTTGTATTTTGGTTTGGTGCATCATATTAAAGCAAAGTAGTGACGTATTCTTTTTGACAACTAGGTTTAGTATATGACAGTTTGATGCTGAAGCATCAATGTATTTGTGGAGATAACTCCCATCATCCTGAACATGGAGGAAGACTGCAAAGTGTCTGGGCTCGACTTCATGAGACAGGTCTTGTGGCACGGTGTGAGGTAGCTTTACACTGATTTCTAAAATACGAGGGGTTTAATGTTTTTGATAAAATTTCCTTTTATAGTGTACTTTTTGATGAGGTATTTGGTTTCTAGTGAAAGATTCAGTCATCTGACATAAGAGAACATTTAAAATATCTTGGCAAAATTGCTACAGATTTTATTCTCTTCAAGATTGTTACTAATATTAATTAACTCCCATTATGCTTAACCCATTAACTGCGGTAGGAGCAGCTCAGTTGCCATTTTCTGACTCACTGATTGCTATCAATTGCAATAAAACGGCAATTTTTGTCATTCGCATAGAGTTATAGTTATATATATGTGTGACTGATGGATATTTCTGTCATTCGCAGCTGAGCCATAGAACTTCAATGACGGAAATATCCATCATCTGCAGTTAATGGGTTAATACTGTTCTTTCCTCAACCTATTTATCACATATTAAAGCTGTTGTTAGTTTACGTTAGATGTTTTTATGAAAAATTCTCATAACGTACACGATCATTGTGTGAGCCTTGTACAAATTTAATAGTTTTGTTGTATATCTTCATCTTGAGTAGTAATTTATTAATAGAATATAAGTTTGTTGAATGGTCTGCACTATACAAAAAAGTTTGAAGTTATAAGGAGACTATCTTGTTGATTCACCATTTCTTTTGAATGATAGTTTAAGTTATAAATAATAAAAAAATGGCTAACTATTTTATGTTAAAATAATTATTAATGTGTTATTAATATTTACACTAACTCTGATTTTTAAATGACTTAAGTAAAAGTTATAATAATACACTTCACTTAATTAACCTATTTCACACCATAACAGTTGTTGTTCATTCAACTGATGATATAACTAAGGTCTTAGCCAATACTATTGTCTGTCATTTTGATTTAAAATTTGGATCCTGTGATCCCAGCCCTGAAAAGGTGCCTGTCCCGAGTTAATGATCAATGATTAAATTTTCAAATTTGTGTTAAATCTTAATTTTCTTCTATTCAGAAGTTTTGTACATGACTTTTATTCATTAGAATTTATCAGGAAGTTGCTGCTTTTGTCACAGCCTTGGTCATCCAAGCCGGTCACTTATCCTATCTTTTATCATGCCTGTTACTTGTTCACTTATCTTTTAGTTTCACACCTTTCCATCATTTTTCCAATCCCTTACTTCCTGCTTTCAGTTTTCTCAGCTTTCCTGGACATCATGGGGCTCTCAATTATTCATGCTTTGTACATACCCATGCCACGCATGTTTATCAACAATTTGTGAGCTTAATGTTCAAACTCAGTATGCCACTTAAAGTTTTATTCGCTCTAGTAAATTTTTTGAATTCACCTTAGAATAATTATTAATTCATGCATGCGGGGTGAAGAGAAACAGAAGTTTCTGAGCACCCTTGTTGTCTAACAAGCTCTTTTTAGATTTTAAAACTATAATAACTGTCAAGTCGATATGATACTATTGTCTATCATATCCCAGCTGACCTGATTAGCCCTGATATTGGTAAAAGGCATCATCAGCTCTGGATATGGCAGATATAGTGTGGTTGACTAATGATTACATATTCTTTTTTTCTTTCACTTATAAAATATAAAATGATGGCTTAAGAAATGAAAATTATGCTGGATACGATATAGCCAAAGTGACAAACACATTGGTTTGAAAGTTATATATCTGTGAATACATGGTACTATTAAATGTTTATAATTGAGTCATGTTGCCTACTACCAATACTGAAATTGGATGAATTTGGCATGAGAAAGAATTACATGAGGTGCTTACTTGTAATGCAATTGAATTTTGATAATATCTTATACCAAAAAAAAAAGTTGAAAAATATTATACCTTTCATTAAGTTCCTTGCATGAGAACTTTTAGAAAATTTTTATATGTTCATAATTTTCATCTATCAAGCTTTTTGCAGAATATGTGTTGTATACATAGGATTAAATAACAGCCTTTTATTAATAAATTCATTGAGTATTATTTTAAATATTTTAATTACTGGCTTATTCATTAATCTAAATGTATATCTTTATACTTGTCTGTTGTTAATTCTTGTTTTCTTAATATCTTTAGGTATGAAATGCATTTTTATTGATAAGTTTCAACATAGAATTGTATTAACTCATGAAATTAAGTTGTGACTGCATAAAGATTTTGTTTCATATGCTGTACAGAATATGCCTTTTTTTTAGATGCTCAAAGGTAGTAAATAGTTTGTCAGTAAATATTTTGCTTTACCAATTCCAGAGGGTGAAGGCAAGGAAAGCCAGTTTTAGTGAAATCCAGTCTTGTCACAGGTAAGAAAATATTAAACATGTTCACAAAAATTGAAATTTATTTGATGAAAAAAATCCCAGATTTATTTAGAAAAATGTGAGAAATAGTTTTTTATGAATAAAAATAACATACATTTCTAAAAGTTTTTAAGGTTCTAATAATCCACATATTTTCTGAATATATCTCAGAAACTTGTTTCATAATATTTCAATAACAAAATTACGTTGTTTTTCATCCATGAAATATAAATTTCAGTTGTTTGTTTGTTTTTAAGTACAAAGCTACCCAATGAGCTATCTGTGCTGTGACCACTGCAGGTATTGAAACCAGGTTTTTAGCATTATAAGCCTTCAGACTTGCTGCTGAGCCATTTGGGGGTGAATTTATTGTAGATATTAGAATTAGTGTTTTATATGCTATCTACCAATTGCTTGTGTTTATATATTTCTCAAACTGTAGTTAACAGATAATATTGAATTGTATTTAACTTATTTATGAAGTACATTTCTGAAGGCCCACTTACACAATTTGCCCTGGGCCCCAAAGTATTAAATATGGTCCTGGCTATAACTAGTCCTGTGAATTAATGTGCTTTATTTAGGCACGTGTTCCGAATGGCCAGTCTGCAGCTTTCAATTTTGAACTGATTTTATAAATTCCAAATATGAGTCTGCAGTAAATACAGAAACTCATTTTAATATTACTTCTACAAAAAAACCAGCTTATATCAGGTATTAAAGTTTATGTTATGACCACATGAGAGCCACATTTTTGAAAAAAATTGGTCTATATTTTTCCAGTTATTATACTAATATGGACTTTGTTGTCTTTAAGTGAGTTAGTATTGTTACCTCTCCGTTTGTTAATTAACTTTCCATAACTTCGTTCCAACGAAACTTTAGCGACACAAGTTCTTTACTTAATAAAAACTGGTTTACTCTTTCTGAATATAACTTTACCGATACACTCAACTTCAACAATCGCGCTAAACAAACGCTATAACAACGAACGTGCTCAATAATACTTCTGACTGCAGATCAATTACTCACTGTCTACACACACATTACATTACCTTAATCTTGCATCACGTTGTCCCCTCTTATATATACCAAACTACCCTATATCTAGCAAATACTAGAGCATTCACCAAGATACGGGATAGTTCTAGAAACGTGGCATCACTGTAGTCATGTGATCTCGATGACGCAACAGTATACATATATTTTTTATAATGAATTACAATGAATGTTATGCTTAATGGTAATTTTAAGTGTTAAAAGATTTTCAAATAAAAAGGTCACAGTTAATAAAGAAAAAGCAGGTCATTTTCCCCATCCTTAAAGTAAAGTTGGGTAACATCTCACTTAACAACTGTGTTTTTTTTAAGAACCTTTAGATCCATTGCATCTTTCTTTTCTATGTGTGTGTGTGTGTAATGAATTTAATAAATATGCAGTTTGTTAAATATTTTCTATTGCACTGTTGTAAACCCCCTTTTTTTGTATACATTACTTGATTGGAATTCAAACTCAAGCCCACTCACACCCCAGTGCTCTACCAACTGAACTGATGGGCTAACTAACTAGTATTCGCTAGTAAGGTGCTTTTTAACAATTCAAACTACCACAACAGAATGTACTATTATGGGATATCTTACTTTCCAATTAGAGGGCATGTGTTTTCGGTCAAGTTCATACCAAAAAGAAATTTGCAAGGATATTATAAATTCATTAAACTGTACAGATTTATCCTTTGAATTTTCATCTATTCACATGTACACAATGCTTTTCATAGTCTTATAGTGTTAATGTTAAATACTTTCTATCACTACTTTTAACATAAGTAAATGTGAATGACAGCCTATTGCCTCATGAGGTTTGTTTATTTTCTTTCAGTGAAGCTTACTCCATCTTGTTTGGTACAAATCCATTAAACAGACAAAAACTGGACCTGAGTAAGTTGGGTGAGTAGCATAGTTTGTCAGCTAGTTCAAAGAGGCTTTATATGTGGTATTTTGTGTAGGTAGTTTAGCAGTTTTTTTTTCTTCTTCTTCTTCTTCAAGTACAAAGTTTTAGCTCATAGCTCCATCATCTCTTGACCAGTTTGAGATCTAATTACAGTTTTGGACTCAGGAGGTCAAACCCTTTCAATTTATATATTTGATCGCACCCAAGGTCTCATAGATTCATTTACTCTAATCCTGCCTTAAAGAATTTCAATATGAGAATAGGTTGGTAGAGATCCTGATGAGTAATAAAATTGAATCAAGTATAAGTGCACCCCATGCTTAGTATTGCTGGTGCACAAACATACTGCCAATATAAAGGAAAAAAAAGGTCTTGTAGATTAATTTACTCCAGCCTGCCTAAAAGAATTTCAAGTGCCACAGCTACTGAGGATTCCCTCTGGTTTTTCTTGTAGTTTAGTAACAGCAACCTAACATTTACGTCGTGAATGTGAACTTTATAGTTGTATAAATGCCATTATCTTTTTTGGAATGTCAAGGAATACCTATATGTGGCAACTTAATCTCACAAATAGCTGTTTTGTGTGTTTAAATATACTTCATTCCTATTATCCAGTTTTGGATCTTTGACTGTATTTACTTATACTTATGGTTGCTGACTTGTTAACTTTATCATGTGTGTTTGTGCACGCTATTCATATAGTGAGTCCTAATAATTCTCATCATTTAATTAACTAACATTTTATTGTTACTCTACATTAATAATATTTCCTTCTCTCCAGGTGTTTAAGGTTTCTGTATCTATTTCTAATCAATAATTAATTGGATATCAAATTATATTACACAGTTGAGATCAAGAAACTGATTTTCATTGATTTTTTTGCCATTGTTTATGAGGATTATATATAGATTTGCTTATACAAGCATTAGTGACAGCATCTTTTTCTTTTTATAACTTCCTTCAGTTGTGGAAGTAAACTTTTGCAAACATATGAATGCTTATAAATAAGTTCTTATTTGAAGTATTGGTAAGCTGTGTGGACCTCAGGAGAAAATAATTTGTGTTTTTATTAGTTTTATAAGGAATTACTTATTTCATTTTTCTTTACATGCTTAGATTCATTGAATATTTGTGATGGTAATATTTATAATACTTTTGATAGCTTTTTTGATTAAATTTTTGATGAAGATTATTTTGCATTATTACCTTATAATTTGGTTTAACCTAAATCTCCTAAGTGGGTCAAGCCTTTTGATATAGCCTGGCATGGTCAGCTGATTAAGGGGCTCGACTTGCAATCTGTGGGTCACGGGTTTGAATCCCGATCCCACCAAACATGCTCGCCCTTTCAGCCATGGGAGTGTTATAATGTGATGGTCAATCCCACTATTCATTGGTAAAAGAGTAGCCCAAGAATTGGCGGTGGGTAGTGATGACTAGCTGCCTTCCCTCTAGTCTTACACTGCTAAATTAGGGGCAGCTAGTGCAGATAGCCCTCGTGTAGCTTTGCACGAAATTCAAAACAAACAAACCTTTTGAGACATTACTGGGATTGTGGCTAGAATCATTCTTCATAGTGATGGTACACAACTGATGATTTGATGCATTGAAATCAATATAAATTTTAGTTCTTCTTGTGTATTGTCATATGATATTAAACACTTCTAATCCATTTGTTATGTTAGGTTTTTTAACTTATAAAATTCTTTTTTGGTTCTTTTTTGGCAATTTTGTAAGTAGTGTGATGACACAAAAAATTATTTTACTTTGGGAAGGGTACTTCATTTCCCTTTCTGGTGCAAAATATTCATACACTCTGATCACAAAAATATGTTCAGATTGAGGATTTTTTATTTTAGGGATGGGGGGATATCTCTTGTACTTAATGGCATTGGAAAACAAAGAAATATGGATCAACTTGAGATACCAGGACCACCCAGAAAGATACCTACAACATGTAGCACTCTACATTTACTGAAAAAATAGATGTACAATATGTAGGCATTATGAGAAATACCAAAACAAGGACAGAAATACAGTGATACAATTACAGTCAGAAACAATTCTCTTAGAAAATGCCAAAATTACATTTATATTTATCTTCTCTCTGTAACTGACCAATTAGGAAATTGGATCATAAGAATTGGATGTATCTCTGCTCCACATGATATTCATAGAGCAATCGCACAATAGAAACATCCTATGAAGTTGTAGATAGCTCGCATGATCAAATCCTGCTACAGAAATAACACATAAGGCTGAATTTAGCACATAACAAAGATGTTTCTAATTAGAACATTAAAAAATTAGATTTTGTGAAGGTTGAAGAAGACTTAATGGATTTTCAGTAGTGGAACAAATAGCAGATTTCAGTGCAGTGTACAGTACTTAGCAAAAACTTCTTTTATATTGACTACTGAGTTAAAGTAAGTTAATTTCTTCATAGAGATAGTTTTATGTGGCTTTGCTTTTTGCATCAATTTTTTCTGCCTGTCCTAATCCTCTGGAATGTTATAAGGTAATTAGTAGTTCGTTAGATATTAAAAGACTTCAATGCTTATGGGTTGCTACAAATGTTGTCATTTAAAGTTAAAAAATGTTTTTAACATTTTCTCACATATTGGATTGAAAATGTCATTTCAGAATTTCCACTTAAAAACTTTGTGAAACTTCCTTGTGGAGGAATAGGAGTAGACTTGGATACTGTATGGAATGAACTTCATACAGCAGATGCTGCACGGATGGCTGCAGGATGTGTAACAGAGCTATCTTTTAAGGTTGCTACAGGGGAAGTGAAGGTAAAACTTGGTAGATTTCTTTGGTAGGGAACGTTAATAATTTTTCTCTCAGGACTGTGAGAAAATAAGTTAGTTATCAATTAGCAGCAGTGGCTGAATTTTATAATATAATAGTCCCTTATTGTTATTTTTTTCATTTATAAGATCATTAATGAATTCCTTTTTTTTTGCATTTATGAGATTATTAACTTTCTTCATTTACATTTGTGACTAAGTATTTCAGGTACTTATTGTATTACATTTTTATTGGATCCTGCTTCTAATATGAATATCCTGTCATTCTAGAATGGTTTTGCTGTTGTTCGGCCTCCTGGCCACCATGCTGAATCTCAACAGGCCATGTGAGTTTTTGGTCACAGTTCTTGATTTTTGACATGGTTATAATATCAGTATTTTACTATATTAAGTTTCTGAAGCAGATACTCAACACTATAAATGATATATTATTGAGGAACTATTTAAAACATTGAAATGATAAACCAAAATCTGCTGTAGGTAGTTTGATACATATATAATGTAAAATTGTGTGAAGTAAAAATGGAGTAGATATAAATTTTTTGATGCAGTATTTTATTTAAGCTGTATGGTATTGTCTCATATTTATATATTACAGCCATAGATAATTACAATAAAACTTGTGATTTAGTGGATATTACATTCTTATAAATGTCTTATTTTGAAGCCTGTAAACAACAAAAGCTGTTTTTTGGAATTATAATTTAGTAGGTGGTCTTCAACATTGCACTCATATATTTACATGCCAGAACTTATGATTTATTTTAATTATATCAGTCAGCTAATCTCTCTTCTTGATGACAAGGATCATTTTAAACCTAGCATTTGGAGTATATCATTGTAAGTGATTAATAGTTTGTTTACTCTTAGCATTCTTATTTTCTTTTGTTCTAGGGGTTTTTGTTATTTCAATTCACTGGCTATTGCTGCTAGGCAGCTGCAACAGAAGCTGAAGTTAGAGAAGATTTTAATAGTAGACTGGGTAACAATCAGCTTTAATATCCTAACCTTTCTAATTCTTAAGTTATCTACTTCAATCGTTCACTTCACATGATTAATTCACCAAAAACTTATCTACTTGAATTATCCATACAGAAAATCTAAGCCATGGAGTTTGGTCACATACTACTTGGTCTTTAGTATTGTGTTGATCATAGAAATATACAGAAGCTTAATGCTTGTATTGCAAGTTTTACGCTTTAGACTTAAGTGTACCACGACTAATGTACTTTAAATTCTGCCACTAGACTATAAAAAACTTCACAGCAGTAAAGTTCAGTGTAAACTTGTGGTTCCCAACCACCATTTTGTGGACCAGTACCAGTCCAAGGGAAGATTTCAGCCAGTTTGCAAAACAGTTGAAAAAAAAATGAGTGTTTTAAGATATATCTACTGAAGCATATTGCTTTACAATGTGATTTAAAAGTACTTTAAAAAACTAATATTTTATGAAGTGGTCTGTGAACTTTTGGAATCAGAAGTAACTTGTTCTCAGTTGGAAAAAGGTTGGGAACCACTTCTCTAAACAACTGCAAATTCTGTCCTTTTCATTTAGTTTTATCTGTTGTGCTACATTACTATCTAAGACATTTTACTACAAATGCTTTTAATAAATTTTAAATATTTGTTATCAAATAGGCTACAAGCAGTTTCAACCAGAATATACAAAATCATATCCAAGGTGTACAAATTTTAAATTAATTTTGTATAACTTTGTCCACAATTAGAAATTTTGTAAATGTTTCAATTCCAGAAAGTTCTGTATGTTATAAAAATTTGATATTCATCAAATGTTACTATAAATTGGATGGTTTTCACTTTAAAAAAGTGAAGAGCCACAGAAAAGTAATTAAGTAACCAAATGAAGCAGTTGGATGTATGTATATGAGAGTGTCATATATAATAATATGTGTACCAACTCAAAGCTTCAACACAGACGCGTAGTAAATCTGACTAGTTACCACTTCAGAAGTGTTTTTAACATTATTTGTTACAAAAAACATTCAATGACAAAATGTGTCAGTTTGCTTAGAAGCCAGAGTGTTGTAGTGTAAACTGTGTCATCACTTGCCTTAGCATGACTGCTTTTTTTTTATGGTAGTTCTGTAGACTTCTGTAAAGTTTGATTGGTTTATTTTATAGGATGTTCATCATGGTAATGGGCTTCAGCAGATTTTTTACAATGATCCTCAAGTTCTTTATATTTCTCTTCACCGTCATGATGATGGGAACTTCTTTCCTGGAACAGGTGGTCTCGAAGAAGTAAATTTATTTTTGTTAATTTTTTATTAATAACATAGAAATTAACATAACCACAACTTCTCATACTTTTTATTTTGTGGTTTTATTGTTAAAATGACAAGCTCATGTAACCTTAGGTATTTTGATTTCAAGTCTGCAATCACATTAGTGATTGTAACATAAATATAATTAGTTAATGTAATTACCTGTGGTTCACTATATTAGTACATGTTTAACAAAGATAGAAATGTATAAAAGTCAGTCTTTAATCTCAACCTGTAAGATGTGTTGTAAGATTTATTTTGTTATTTTATACCCTGAACTTTTCACTTGATTTCTACTCATATTTAGTGGTCTATCAATGAAAGCCAAAAGATATACAATTTTTATTTTGACAGTGAATAGCTAACAACTGAAAAATTAAAACAAGGTTTGTATTCCATTGACATGTATCTTCTTTTAGTCTTATGTTTTGTTATTCAGTTGTCATAAGTTGTTTGAAGGGAAGTAGGCTTTATTGTAGGAATCATTTTCACTCAATACCTACGAAACTGTACACTTTTTTTGTGTGTATTTTAAGTTTTGGGTAAGTGTGATGCATTTTCTTTCACTTCATTCACAACATTACTTTTACTTTCTTCTATGCAAGTTATGTTTGTTTGCATTAGTTCTGTATAGTGGTGGAGCCCTGGTTGATTGTTTTATGGATTTTTTATATGAATTATTGATTAAATTAAAAGAAAATACATAAAATAAGCTAGTGAAACACATACTGAGAACACAGAACAGAGAAATAATCCTTCCATGTTTCACCTTTAAAAACTTTTATTAAAATATTCCATGTTAAAAAAGTCACCCTAGACCTGTTTTTGAAAAACCTACAAGTTGAGTTTTGTTCTCCTTTAAGACTATAATATCACTGGTTCCACATCATTCTTTCCACATTAATTTTCTGTTTGCATTATTCCCATATTTTTATCAATTAAACAGCTTGTTAATTGCATGTTGTTTTTGTATTAAGTTCCATATTTTGATAATTTCATATCATTCTCCCTGTATTTTCCTCACTGTTAGTTGTATGTCTTAATTTTTTAAGTTGATATTTTTCTGTGGCAGGTAGGTACTGGTGATGGTTTGGGATACAATGTGAATATTCCCTGGGCTGGTGGACTTAACCCTTCATTAGGAGATGCTGAGTATATCGCTGCTTTCAGGTCAGTTGGTATACATACATACAAGAACAATTTCATTTTTAATCCTTAAATGTAAAAACTGATTTGTGACTTTTAATACCAAGTAGATCAGTGGTTCTTACCCTTTTTTGCTCTAAGCCCCACCTCGACACCTCAAAAAACTTGATGCCCCCTTAATATAAAAATAAATTTGGTGTTGAAAAGGTATAATAATATAATGTAAAATTTAGAAATTTACCAAAAAAATAGGAGCTTAATTTTTCTTATTATAGCATTTTAAAATTGTCCCCCTGTGGAGCGTGAACTCCACGTTCAGAATCACTGAAGTAGATGTTAATTTCTGTATATAAATTTCAAACAAAACATTTTTTTAGTAAGTTGTATCCTTATGAAATGCATTTCTTCTGATTAATATGAAACTGAAAAGTTGGAAATTGGTATGTATATGTAAAAATACTCATATTAGGAATATTTCTCAATGAGATTAGTTAACTCAAACTCTTTGAACAGTTAAAAGGCTTTAGAACATCCTGGAAAATATGTTTTCATAATTTCATCAGAATGAATATAATGCTTAAAACTTTAAGACTATAAATAAACAAATGATAGACAACCAAGCCTTTTATTCACTTTCTCAGCTGTACCAAGAATAGATAGCACTAATTCTGTTCTTTTTTAAACATTATACAAATGTTATGCTTTAAGTTAATGAAAATTTAAACAAAACTTACAGAGCAGTGCTTTATCACTATACACATGACAAAAAACTAATTTAATTAAAAGAAAATGTCAGGTAACCTCAAGTCATAATGATATTAACATTTAAATTAACAATGGCGTAAAATTAAAAACTCCTTAATTTTCTTGGAAAGGCAGAGGAACTGTCTGTTCATTAAAAAAGTAGAAATGTTTTATACATTATATTCTACAATTTACTTTCTAGATGCATATGTTATGATAGCTCACTTAATTTGAGATTTGCATGCTACTAGCTTTGAGCTACCTCCAACCTAAATAACATGTATAACATGAACTGCTCTAGTATATGATGTCATCATCATCGTGGGATGATAATAGCCCTCCAACAAGAGGATGGGCAACACAACCTTCTTGCACAGTAGCCCCCCCTCCAAACACTTGGATTCAAATTTATTCAGTCTTTTCCTTGTCATTGTCTTGAATGGATGTGTTCCAAAATTGTTAATCAGTTACTTGAGATTTGTGACAGTTTATGATCATGTTAATTTTGTTCATGTTTCACATAACCAGTGATTTCCTGCCATTATGACTTCTCAAGTGACAGTAGCTTTCACTTCATCCCATGATAATTACGATGTTCTTAACATGGTACCTGTGACTACTGGAGGCTCAATGTATGTGAAGGACATGACAGCCATTGTTTAATGTGTTGTTGATTCCTTCATGCACAGTGGGCCTCCTCCTCCCATTTCTTCCCCACAGTTTGATACTGGCTAGGAGGAAGATGAATTCATTCAACTGTTCCCTACACTGGTTTTGCTTTGGGTACAGCCTTACCAATTAAGGGCAGTCCTCAACCTTCCACTCTATTTCAGGATATGATTTCTCAAGTATGTTCCTTTCTTGCTCTTTTGCCTGTGTTTTTCGGTTCTTCCTGTTCCTTGCTCCATCAAACTCGGGATTATTTAGTATTTCTTCCCTTGCCTGATTTTAGGGTTCACACTGATTATTTTCTTGAATAAGTTCACACTTTTACCAACATGCCTTACCTCTTTGCCTTCTTGATTCTTTTATTCTGGTTTACAGCCATTCATCCTTTCGTTTTCAAAATTCCCAGTCATTAGAATATTTTTTGCCTGCTTAGGGAGTGGACTCTTTGTCTTCTGTTTCACTCTCTAGTGCCCAATTTTAGTGGCTTTTATCTTTTTCTCACTGCCTTTCTACAATACCTCTCCTCTCTATACTAAATGTCTGAAGCACTTCATCATGCTCCAGAAGGATTTTATGGAGAAGTTCATTTCCTTCTTGTTACCATACTGGACTGTGCTCTACTTCTGCTCTATTCCTCCTTACTTGGCTCATCTGCTGCTGGGACTTGTTGAGTCTTACTAATATATGCCTACCTCCTTCTTTTATGCATAATCTTTATCTGGTTCCCTTCCTTTGGTTAGATGTCTTCAGTGGCATTCCTGGTTCAATGTAGACCTGGGCTAAAGCAGCCCAGCATCAGTCTTCTTTATCTTCCTTGGTTTCTTCTCTTTCCCAACCTCACCCTTCAACTCCTGTTCCTCTACTGGATCAGTCTGACCTTACCCTTCCCATTCTAGCTTCCAGACCTTACTCTTCTTCCCACCCTCTCAGTTACTTGTTCCATATCTCATCAGTGACTATTTGGTCAGATTAAGCCCAGTGGGTGCCTGTCTTTTAATGTTTGAACCAGTCTCTCCTCCATTTCAATGTGGGATTCTAGCTATTCTGTGTGAGGAGGTGAAAATCGTCTCGAAAGTTAGCATGATGCTCATCTCTTCGCACCTTCCCGCCCATCCTCACCACATTCAGTGCTCTTTCTTCTTACCTCATCTAAGAATAAAATTAATTCAAGTGCAAGTACTTAAAGGGAGCTACTGTACAAGAAGGTTGTGTCACTATACTATTGGTGGAGGGCTATTTTTGCATAATGATAACATTGTGTACCTGTACAGTTCATGTTAAACACGTTTTTTAAGTGGTAATTAGCTTCAGGCTAGTGGCATGCAAGTTTCACAGGCAGGTGTGTGGAGGTGAGAATCTATCAGAAGTGTGTGTATATTCAGGTAAGTAAAATGTTGGCATTTATGATTTCAAAGTGTTCAGTTTTGCCTGTCCATTTAAAGATATAGATGTTACTATCAGTTCATTTACTTCCTACACTTAGAGTGTGACAGCAAGTCTCAGAAGATGCATGACACTAATTAAGTTGTTTATATTCATCACAGGACTGTTGTGATGCCCATTGCTGAGGAGTTTAACCCAGAAATTGTTCTTGTGGCTGCAGGTTTTGATGCAGCGCAAGGCCACTCTCATCAACTTGGTGGTTACACTGTCTCTCCAGCCTGTAGGTTACATGATATTTTTATGAAAGAAAACTATATTAAATTATATTAGAGCAGTTTCTAAGAGTAAGAGTATGAGCATTTTAGATGAATGAAAATGAAATTATTCTGTACTTCAAGTTTAATTTATTTATAATATTATGAGAAGGTGTGATAAACTACATCCACATTACCTTAACACAATTGCTGCTAACACTGTGTCTACTTTGTGATTACTGAATATATTTTATATTGGTGTTAACAGTTTTTTTTATATGCTAAATAATCCTTAATTCCAAAACATACTTACCTCCTCTCACACTACAGTTATTACTCGACTGCCAGTTTATTTCTTTGCTCATCTAAGCATTCGTCTGATTTTTCTCGCTTGCTCCAGTCTTTTATACCCCACTTAATTGCCCTTGGCGATATTTGTCTTGTGACACTCTTATTCTGATACTGTGTATAAACACCTCATTCAGAGAATGTTATCACCTTTTCTCAACAAAGTGTCATTAATGGGTTTCTCAGTGCTATGATTGTTCACAGATACTTTGAGTGTTCTCCATGTTACTTAGTTGATGTTTCATAAAAAAAAATGTTGGTTGGCAAACCAACTTACGGTATGATATTCTGGATTATTATTTCCAGCACAGAGGCATATCAGGTCTCTCATCCTACCTTTGATATATAGCATCACACAACAATCTCAGTTGAGAGTGTCAGTGATCTTATTCATAGTGAAATGGAGACATAATATATTCAGTTTGGTGATGTTCCTCCAGAGGCTCTGAGGCTGAAATTGAGGGCGATCCTGGACATTCTGGAGAGAATTTAGATTCGTTTTTTCCTGCCTTCTTTTATTTTGTTTCGTTCTCAGTCCTCCTGTGGGACAGTGGTAAATTTGCATACTTGCAACACTAGAATCTGGGGATTCGATTCCCTATAGTGGGCACAGCAAATAACCCAATGTTCCTTTACTCTAAAAGATAAACTTACCTGGCAAAATGTTGTTCCGAACAATGGTAATAAGAACAGTTTTTTAAAGAAATGAAAAAGGAGGCCACTTTGGAATAAGCTGCCTCTCATTTGTTTTCTTAAGTTGGTTCATTGAGAGTGTGATGTTTTTGGTCTTTCCCAAATTGCTTTTGAGCCTGCATCTTACTTGATGACTGAAAGGTCTGGGAGCGAATATTTTGTTTTCTTTCCATCCACAGACATTGTGGTTCATGCAGGAAGGTCTACTGCTCAGTTACATGAAGGGACAGCTATTCCTTATCCATCAAGGTTGTCGGAACTACATGATTTAGCCTATCACCGCCAGGTGGAAGCATATTCCGACTCTCAAATAATACATCTGCTCCCTGAAATTAGGAGTTCTAAGGTGGAGTTTGTAGTTAACCTGAATAGATCAATATCCCCTGGTGGGACAGGGGTAAGTCTACAGACTTACAACTCCAAAATCCAACATGTTGTTTTCCTAACAATAAACTTTGTCAGAAGACTCAGGATCACCAACTTCATTTATGAGATGGAACCATTGTTAACGTGCACATTGGTTCAGTTGTCGACTTCTACATTCATCCATATTGCCATTGACATCTTGACTTTCATTAGCTTCTACAGGGGGTCTTATTTCCGCCCCTATTCGAGGGTCCCGACTCCCGATATCAGCCCCTCAGTATATTGGGGGGGGGGGCTCGGATCCGACGTGTGGTAACCTTAACCATGGATCCATGGGCATTACAGGTTCTTGAGTGAATATTAGTCATTCCATTCACATCTTTAACACCATTATCCACCCAAGCTGTAGGGCTTCCATCTCCCACAGATCCTTTGATTTTGGAACTTTAGTTCTGTGACTATTATAGTTTGGTTGGTCTGGGGTAGAGAGAGAGAGAGAGTCATGCTAGTTCATCCAGGGTTTTATTCCGGTCTGTCATTGGGCCTAAGAATAGAGGAGATTGGTGTCCAGTCATTGATATTTCTCACCTATATCAATTCTTAGATTCTCCAAGGTTCAGGAGTGACTCATTCTTCAATATGAGTTGGCATATTTTACTAGGATTGTAGATGTCGAAGCTCGTTGTAGCTGTCTCCTATTGGCGTTTATTGTGCACAAGGGTCAGATACTGTAGTTCAAGGTTTTTACCTTCGGACTAGCATTGGCACCACATGGATTCTGCTTTTTCTTGTCACCTCCATTCCCTAGCCCTGTGCACACACCATTTCATGGATGACTGGTTACTGCTAGCACCATCTGATCAATCGTTAGAACATCACACCCAATATCTACTTTCAGAAACAACTAAGGCAGGCTTTATTGTCTGAGCTGAGACATCTGTTCATGCTCCAACTGAATATATTGTCAGTCTGGGTATTTTTTTCATCACGATTCTCAATGAGGCTCAGCTGACTTCCATCTGGCTCCACATTATGGAACAGGTAGCCCGACTCTTACCTCTCCTTCTCCCACTGCACGGATTATTCTTTCTCTTTTAGGAATGTGGGCATCACTCGAATCTGTCATGCCTTTGGGATGAGTGCACGTGAGATCCTTTCAATGGCCTCTATATGACCAAGGTATGATAATCATCAATTCATTGGATTCCCGAGTTCCCTTATTCAGGATCATTCTTTGATCTCAAGGGGGTTTTTTAAGTCAGGACACTTGTAAGATATGGGTTCCTCTGCTGCCATCTTGTCCAGTGATCCATCTCTTCATGAATGCCTCGCTTCAGGGATGTGGTGCATATCCTAATAGTCAGCACTTCTATGCACAAATCTTGAGGTTTCACTACACAATGTTTTAGTCCTTCTTGCTCTTCAAAAGGCAATGCCTCATGGTATGGTCTTATTAAGAGGAAAATCACCAGGTTTCACTCCGACAATTCCACACTGGTGTCTTGCATTTCCCATTAAGGAGGCACATGGTTCTGGACTCCTTGTTTTCGACCCTTGGATCTCATTTCTTGGGACCACTCCTATCATATCACCCTACTAGATTGCCAAGTTCCTCGGGTGATGGCTACAGTAACAGATCACTTATCTTGACCCAAAAAGATTCTCCCAACAGAATAGATGCTGCATCTCAAGGTTCTGTTGGATTAGCTCTCATTTTGAAACCTGATGATTGATAGGTTGGGCACTCATTGGAACAACCAACTACTGACAATTTGGTCTCAAGTACCTCACCTTCGGGCTTTGGCAATGGATACATTCCATCAGGACAGGATGAGATTACAACTCTAGACCTTACCTTAAATTCATATGTTACTCAAGTTACTAACTATGACTTGTTCCAACCCATTGTCGGGTCCTGTTGATAGCATCGTATTGGCAACTACACTCTGATTTCTGCTACTGTGGTATCTTCAGGAGTGCCCACCTCTTACATTTCTTTGGCCATCTCTTCGAAGGCAGCCATGATCTGACATGGTACACCCGGCTATCCAAAAGCTCAAGCTCCAGGCATGTGGAGGTTATGCAGTCTTTCACTCAGCATCGGGGTTTAATTTCTAAGGTTGCCAACTGTCGCAGTCTTTGCTCAGTCCTGCGATGGACATTTATCAACAAAAGTGGCACACATATCGGCAATGGTGTATTGAGAAGAGGTTGAACCCACTTTAATCAGAAGAGTCAACCATAACTCGTTTTTTGACTTGGCTATTTGGCTAGGGTTTTGCATCTTCCACAATCGCCCTGTATAAGGCAGTCTTATCGACTACCATTCAACACTCAAGACAAAAATTCTTTGAGTTCCCAGTACTCTCTGTATTCTTCAAGTCACTTTGGGTCCTTTATTCCAAACGACCATTCCAGTTGCCTAACTGGTGTATTAAGGTTACATTACATGCCCTTTGTTAACACCTGTTTGAGACCTTAGTCTCATATACCATGTATCACCTTTACCTAAATGTTTATTTTTCGTTGCTGCTGACCTACAGACATCACCGAGCAGAGTGATTTGCATTGATTGTCCACAGGAAGCTTAGTCATTCTACCTACATCCTAAGACCAGTTCTTCTTACCTAAGACACTGTCAGCCAGAGAAGGGGATAAATCCTTTTCACCGATTCATCTGATCACTATTTCTCATGTCTATGACCAACTGTTGCAGTCTTTGCTTAGTCCTGCAATGGACATTTATCAACAAAAGTGGCACACATATTGGCAATGTTGTATTGAGAAGAGGTTGCACTCACTTCAATCAGAAGAGCCAACCATAACACGTTTTTGGACCTGGCTCTTTGGCTAGGGATTTGCATCTTCCACATTCAAGGTGGGTACGAAATTGATTCATATTGCTTATTTTGGGTTCTCTTTGAAGGTGAGGAATCTTCTACGAGTCATGTCTAATCAGATTCGTCATATTTCTATGTCCTTAGTGGCCCAGTTGAATTGCCTGCTGGAGGCCATTGTGCAGACTGATATCTGGACCTTCTCCAATACTTTCATCTCATATTACTTGCATGATCTGGCAGTATCTTCATCTGAGGGTTTTAGAATACCTCCATAGCTATCTTAACCACTTCTATGAGATTATACATAGGGGTGTGTATTTTCATTACTACGCTTGTCTTTTCTTTACCCTTCAGTGCCCCTTACCTTGTTTTCACAGGATCTCACTCTGTGGCAAGTGTTGCCCAAGCAGGTATGTTTTTACCAAACCAATTCTGCACAAGCAACCACTGATTCAATATACTTTATTTAGGTTGCAACAGGCTCTGTAGAAATGAGGTGTTCCATAAGATCACCTAGAGGCTGACTTGGTGATATTACTGTACTATGCTGGACCACCACTCATGGACTATCATGAGTAAAGCATAAGGGGATCCTGTCCATCCCTGCCAATCATGGGATTGAATAAATCAGGGTCGGTTTGCTTTTAAAAATGTGCATTACCCCCCAGGTTCCAATGGTGGAGCTAGGGAGTCCTTACCACATCCAGTTTCCAGTCACTGGCATGGTGGACAGAAGCTTTTCCTCCAGAGTGTTAGAGTGAATTTCCTCCACTCTTGGAGAAGAGGGTGAAGTTGGGGGCCCTCCTACCTATGTCACTGGATGTTTCTTTCCAGATGTCAGTAGGAGAGGCACCAGCCTACGCGGGAGCCTACCAGTTCAGATTTGACACTCAGCTATCCAATTGGGTTGAGCGTGGCCCTTCTATTTGATCGACATTTTTTCAGTACATTGTTCATGGAAGAGAGTCCATTGTCTCCTCTTAATTCTGAATGCAGAGTGGTTTCATCCTAGATCCTTGGTTGAGCACAATCTGTTCCACATCCTCCCCATAATTCTGGGGGTAAGAGTAAGGGGAGTAAGTTGGGGAGTAAGGCATGCAAGATCCTGTCATTCTGAGCCTGGGATGTTACCTTTCAGACTTCATCAGGTTGAAGAGAAGGTTTGTCCACTTCGGGGTTGCTTACCTTCTCCTCATGATTCCAATGGCTTGGAACTCATTAATCCGTGTTATCAGCTGTGTATTGATTTTAATGTTTTTTTCTTGTATTTTATAGAATCCTCACATAAAAGTTTTAAAATTCTCCAATAACTAAAGAAGCAAGTATTGTATTTAATTGCTACATGACACAGTGATAATTACAAAATCTAAGAGTCTAAAAACCACCAAAATATTTGGCATGCTCAACATTAAGATATTGGAAATATAGACACAAGACAAATGTTTTAATGTTCTCAACTACAAATATTTTATAAACTACATCACTAACAGCATAAAACACAAATATATTCAAGATTAACAGGTGAGAGTAAATTTCAAAATTTATGTGCTAATGAAATATCTATTGAATGAAAAATTACAGTCATATTCCAGTTGCCACCTGTTTTGCAAGTTGTATGAAAAAATAAGCATGAAATATGTTAGTTGAAAAGGCAGTATCAGTATTAAAAGTTTAACTAGCATCATCTATCTATATATATATACAAGGAAAATAGTATGAGTTCATAGCACAGATGTATAATTGAGGTAACAGTTACCCTTGTAAAATTGTCAATATTTTATGACAGATTCAGGTGAAAGAATTACCTCGTTTAGCACCTTTTTCTTCTGAAAATTGTACAATCCTGTCCTGATTGCTCAATGATCCAAACTGATGTTACCACTGTTTGACTAGTCCTAAGTAGAAAAAAGTAACTTCTCCTTTTTTGTGAGTTATGTTACTTGTTATTAGATATGATGCTACACCAAGATGATAAACAATTGTAGCATCTGACACTTAATATGGGTATTCTTGGGCTGCAAATTAGCTGCAGCAATTATCGGTTGAATCACATCATCGGTTATCCAATGTGTAAGCTACCTTTTCAGAACTTGTATTGCATACGAGAGAGATATAGATATTTTGGCAATAAAGCTAGAAAAAACAACCTTCACTTTCCAAATGATAATATGAATACTTTTTATTTCAGCTAGCATTTCACCATTGCAGTTTCATCAGGGCTAGTAGTAAAAGAACTGTATACTACTTGATGAAAGCTATCTGTATGTTTCTAAAACATAAGTATCTGAAATTAGATACCTGAACCTACAGGGATACCTTTTGGATATCCAAATTTGAACATTTATTTCTGTGTCATCTTAAAGACTTTAAATGTTATATGATCGGGTTTATACAAACATGAGAATTCACTCAGATGCATTTCATCTAGCAGTGTATACTTGACTTTTGGTTCATCCATATAGCACTAACTCATGGATTCTTTTTTATCTCTATTGGCCAAAAGCTAAAACAAAGGTCTTTAGTTCATATTTTCTGCCAAGTTTTCTAAGTCAGAAATACAAACCACACAAAAAGTTAGATACCATCAATTCAGTTTTTGGAAATATTAAATCAATTTCATGCTTTAATAAAGTGAAAATTTTACAAAACAACAAAAGGTTCCCTTTAACCATACATTTGATAAAGACTAGATTTTCAGAAAATAAAATGTTGGGTAATCCCAAGGTTACCACAGTTATAACACATATATTAACAAAGATATCAAATTAAAAGTATTAATGAATAAAATACCAGTCTCTACATGTGGAAACAATATATGATTATGTACATCTCTGTATAACCATTATATATGGCTCTACTTCTTATAGTATACTTGAATATGATTATACCTGTCAACTGGTATCATAATAATCTGTATACACTGAAATTTTCTTACCTTTATATATCTAAATCTAGATATCAATGCATGAGCAAAATCTTTATATTTTTGTCTACTTATATGATCAACTTATCTGTATTGAATTATTGTGACATTTACCAGGACTTTTCAGTTCCTTTTACCAGCAAACTTGGTGCAGTTATAACTGAAATACGATAATGACTGTAAAATGTTGCATTCCACAACATGAGTTTAAAGTAAAAAAATATCTGAATATACTTATCAGTACTTGACTGTCTTTGTCTAAGCAATAACTATGTATCTAAATCTTTCTATGTATCTGATTTAATTATCTATCATTTTGTAATTGCTTAATACGGAAAGTGGACTTATCCTCATCATGGGTTATTGGGTTTATTTTCTGATTTTAAGAATTTATCGTGTGTTCTATATTTCTTTTTTTTTTACAGGACATTGCCAGATTACCCATTAAAATGACAGTGTATGATATTTTTGTATTTATGTTTACTAACTAAAAGGCTTAAAGATATTAGACTCAGTTTTCACAAGTAATTGTTCATAGATAATTTTGTGTAGGTACACTAATGAATCTGTTAATTTTTCTGAATGGATTTAATGTGACAATGCAGGTGATTTTTCAACATATGAATCAGACAGAAATGTGTTCTTCCTATTCTCAAATAAGCCTGTCTAACCATCTGTTGCTTAAACAGGGGTTTTCTTTCAGTTTTTTTCTTGAGGGAAGGATTTTATCTGGTGACTAATGTGCTCGGGGTCCCATGATTTGTTTTATAAGTATGTCTAAAAGAGTACTTGTCATTTTCATGCCAGAAGTTTTCATCTTGAAATAAAACCCTCAAATTTTCAAAAATTCTAAGAAGGGAAGGCTTGAATGTAGGGAAAGAAAAATGTATTTATAACCATTACATTCATGTGAAATAATTAAGCATGTGATTATTTAGAGCACGGAAAGCTCAAGAAACACAGTTTGTATAATTAGGCTACTGAACAGTTCTACAGTTATCAGACAAAGTACATGAGCAGATTAGAAATGTTCACAGAAATTGCAAATATGTATATTTACCACTTTAAGATACAAATATGATATTTTTTTATTTAAGTCTGCATTTATTATATTGAAAGATTTTAATAGTAATGTTTTCTTACAATGTTTCATGATGCTCATTATTTTATGTTCTAATTCTGGTAGTACTCTGTACTATTTGAATTTTACTTTAGTTTATTAAGAAACTACTCAATACTAAGATTTTAATTTTGTGTTATTGTTAATATGTTAAGCTGTTTTAGGATTTCTGTTGATTTTCATGTTATATTTCATAGGTTTTGGCTTCCTCACTAAACAATTAATGCAGTTGGCTAAAGGAAAGCTAGTGATGGCTTTAGAAGGAGGGTATGTATCATTCATTAATTTCAAAATTTATAGAATATTTTTTAGAGTTTACACATTTATATTTGTAACATTTTACAGAGCTTATAATAAGGTGGTGTTATTTGAGCTATATTTTCTAATGTTAACAAGACCAATCTTATAAAAATACTAGTAAATGTACTCTCACTATGGTATTTAGTTCATTGGCTTCAAGAAGATGGCAAGACAGCATGCATGTGCATCACTTGCCGTGTGAGGTTACTGAATATAGGCAATCAACAAAGATACCAATGTTAGATGCAGCATTAAATGTCACTTTAGTTTGGCATTTGTTTCAAAATGACTGCTAAAACGGATGTTGTATATCCTACTGCTTATCCATTTAAATGCTATACTTGGAGTTCCACTTGAGTTCCTTTATCAACTTTAATCAGAATTGGTTCAGCCAGGTCATCACAATTTGTGATGTCAAGATGCTAGACACATGAATAAATTCACTTAATATTTGTATAGCCCTTGTTACTGTAAATATAAATAAACTGAAACCTAATTTAACCCGATGACTACCGGCTACTAACTTTCTTAGTATCAAAGTATTTATGAATTTTCGAAATATTCGTCCACTAGTTTTATTGTTGGAATGAAATATAGCAAGACTTGCATTGCCTACCTACATTTGGGTTTAAGAAACATAAAGCCTATTACTTTCAATAAATTTAGTTTTTTTGCATTATGATCTTTAATATCTTGGAAAATTACATTAGGAAATCGTATTTATAAGAAATGATTACAATATTTATATTTGCTACAGATTTGAACTTATTACTTTTAATGTTTTAGTACATTATTTTGAAATCCCCAAAAAATTGTATCCTCCATAAAATGCAAATTTTATCTATTTTTAATTTTTTTAATAATCACGTATACTTCTTATGGTTTCAAGTAATATACAGACCCGTACATATTATTTGTAAATAAACCTAAACAATAAATGAGTATTTTTATTTTTAACTAGGATTTCATGTTTATGTACATAAAAACATTTTAATTT